TTGTATACGATATTCGAGATATCAGAAAATTGCTTTGAATCATGTCCGTTTTTTTGTCGCTATTAAATGAATGGGCACCATTGTTGCAAACTCAAGAGAATATGTAGACATAATCATATATCATTTGTGTCAAATGTTTTGATTTGACTTAAATAGTTACTTATTGATTGCAGAATGATATGAAAGTCTCTATGCCGCTATCTCTATGTAGAGAGAAGTTAATTGTATTTTATTCAGTCCTTTTTAACGTCCCACTGCTTGGCACGAGCCTCCCTACATTACGTTGGGGATCAGGCCATAGTCCACCACGCTGGCTAAGTGCGGGTTGGCGTACTTCACATGTCTTTCGAAAACTTGCTAGATTCTCTCAGACTGCAGATTTCCTCTAAATATTTTCCTTCACCGTAAGACAAATGATAATTAATAATTATGTTGGAAATAACCTAATATATAATATATACATAATACAATCACACGTATCAATCAATTTTAAAACACTATTTTTTGCGAACATAAAATGCCTTTATGTTTTTAATAAAACTATTATGTTTCTTCGGGGTTTCTCCCGGATTTATTTTACGTTTTGGTTGCTGACGTTTCAAATACTCGTACCTCACAGCAAACATGATTTCTATTGTTTACAATCCAGATAATTAGTTTTACTTCGTCAAATACTCGCGTAATTCAAGAAAGCCCTATTTTTATATTTTAAATTGTAAATAATAATGAAATTGGTTTTACAAAAAACATAATATCTAAAGATTGTTTTCTTGTTAGAAGACCGCTATCCGCAATGCGGTTGGCAATATTTGCAGCAACTGGAGCGCTGCAGTGAGTTCGCTTTGAGATAGATTGCCATCTCCTTGCTGCTTGGGAGCAGTTATAATGATGTAGCGGCGTACTGTTCGATAACTTTGTCATGCTCCTAGTTCGGTTTAGCAATGATCATATTTTATATTATTTAAAAAAAAACAACGTTGTTAAAATTTTAAACCATTTAAATATATTTACAAAAAACTAAACTACCTTTTATTATTTTTAGTTAATTGTTTATAACTTATGCAATTTTTAAACCATTTAAATATATTTACAAAAAACTAAACTACCTTTTATTATTTTTAGTTAATTGTTTATAACTTATGCAATTTTTGCAAGCAGAACTTGTTTTTTTTTCAAAAATCATTTACATGCCATTCCGAATCGAATGACACCTCGTTCATATTTTTACGAGACTGCTGAAAAAAGTTGACCAAAAAGGCACTGTTGACTAGACACGAGAGTCACGTTTTAAACAAGGTTTTAATAGATCAATACTTCCAGTCAATATAAATATTTACATTATTTATAACATTAAGTGGCGCCAGATTTATCTTAAATACAGTATCTTTTATTTAGATTACTAAGATAAAATGACTCATACAGTTGTTATTATACACAATATTTATTATTACTTAATCATGTTTTTATTACTTTGCGGGCTTTTATTAGTCATTATGAATGAAAAATGCTGGGGCATGCTATTCTAGCCGACCTACATAAAATTCGTATTCGTCTTCGTTTCATGTAAAGATTACATGAGCACAATTACAAATCAAATTTTGAAGTCAAGCAATACTTGTCATCTATACATATAATAAAATTGTAACTAAGCCGAATCTGTACAATCAATATTTTTTGGAAAATCTTTTTGAAATAGACATTATTATCGATACAGAGGCCGAATCTATAGTTTTTAGAATTTTTGTCTGTCTGTCTTTTACCACATCACGGAAAAACCACTAGAGGGATTTTGATGAAATTTGGTATGGTGATAGCTCGTTATCCGGGTCAACATATAGGATACTTTTTACCGCAAGAAAATGTCTCATATCTGAGAAAAAAGTACAGAAACTGCAATGTAAGAGTATACTACTATGTAAAACCTAAGAATTTAGTTTTCGGTCATCTGAACGCGGGCGAAGCCGCGAGCAATGCTAGTATGAATAAACCTGAAGTTACCTTAAATACTTAGTTCTTAGTAATAATTTAACATAGAACTTTTTACATCCATAAACTGGCCCCCGAGATCCAGCTTATCAATTTCTTGTTAGCCATCTCGTTTGTTTAACGGTTGTTCTACTATTACTTGGAGATGTAAACGTTGCGCTGAAATATATAACTAGTTGCTATTACAATGATGATCAAACGATGAGACGCCACGGATATATTTATTGACTCATAACTTGAATCAAATTGATCTAGAGAACATGAGGTTATTTAGTTTATAGTTTTTATTTACATTTATTATACTTATAGATTAATTTTTTCAATTAATTTAATTATTTATTCGTTTATTTAAAATTCCTTGCCGTTCTTGACATACAATATGCACTAGACATTGTTAATGAAAAAGGTCAAAATAATGTAAATTGCAAAGGCGACGCACTGTCACATCCTATTAGACACGCAATAGAGCCGGTCTAATGGCAATAACAAACAATCATCTTGGCACTCGTTCGCCACTCAGGTGTCATTATGTGCCTATCGCTAAGTAGGCGAACTGGGTCAGCTGGAAACTAGTACCCCGTTTACAATATGAATATCAAAACATTAAACAACGTTGTTACTTTCGCTTATAGTATTTATTTGAAGAATGTAAAGGGTGGTAATATTTAAACAAAAATAAATTACTAAAAGGTAGTAATTTTAAATATATAAAAAATAGCTGACTTGACAGACCTCTGTCCAAATTTTAATTTTATTTACTATCTTTGAGGAACCTTTTTAAAGTTTTTTTAAAATATTATGCCAAATCGATCTAGCCGTTCTCCAGTGATGAACATACCAGCAAACAGCATTTTATATATTTTTTTAATAGATAAATTGACATATCAATGGAAAACTAAAGTAAAATTAATATATTCTGAAACTAGTTATATATTTTTCAGACGTCGCTCCATTACATACTAAAACGATAGTAAATATAATAAGTACCCACATAGAAATTCACTTTAGGTACTATTTAAATGTAAACGCACTCTCTTAAAACACAATGAAGATGTTAATTGTTGCGCAAAACAGAGTGGGTCAGTATCGTTAATGTTTACATTGCGCGTGACAAGGTAAAGTTAAAAGTTATGAATATCTTTCGAAACCGTTACATTTTACTACTAAGACGTGATCAACAATAAAAGTTCTATTCATAAAATGTAGACTATACTGCGTCCTTGATATGATAGAATAAGCATGTATCTATGGTTGAGACCAAAAATAGTTACTGGGATTTCTGTCAAGAAGTCAGAATCCCCCCACGTGTGTATCATAACTAGTGACTACCTACCCTTCCATCGTACTATGAATGTAAGAAATAAAAAAAATCTACATATAATTTGTCCTATAACGTTGCCTAGTCTCAGTGAGATGATCGCCATGAATGTTGAATGTAAAAGATATTTATTTGTAATATAACTAAGATAGTTATACCTATTACAATTAAAAATAGTTGGTAGAGTATTAATAACTTTGATAACTTTTTGTCGGGTTTTTGCCAAACATGCTTAGATACTACGACGACGTACCTACTTACTGTGTCACGAATTCATTATCTACGCACGACAAATATTTATTTTTGACGCATGTTCACCTCTCCTAATATATGTATATGTAATAGTTTTTAAACTTGACTGCTTACCTATTACACTACTAGCGACTCACCCTCGCTTTGCTCTGGTTCGTCCCTAGGTTGATTCCCTATACAAACTTTCATCCCCATTTTCACCCCCCACCCCAAGGCATAATTTCAGGGATAAAAAGTATCCTACGACCTTTCCAGGGTCTCAAACTATCTTCTTACTAAATTTCATCTAAATCGGTTCAGTAGAACCAGAGATTACCCTCTACAACGTCACAAACTCACAAACTGCCTCTTTATAATATTAGTATAGATAAACTAATTTAATACATTTTAATACGCAATGAATACTGATTCACTTATAAATCCTCAATCCATATTACGAGTATTGTAAAATAGCTAATATACTCTCGTGACTAGTTTTAGTTGTTCAAAATATTTTAAAAGCATTATGTTATCTACTTGTTGTTTGTCTTCACTTACTTGATTTCATAAATCTACTTTCCTTTTGTGAATTACAATAGTAAATATTACAGATGTAATGTAACAGTCCATAATATTGTAATAAGTTAAAATCAAGTGTGCGATCTTTTAGAATTAAGTCATTGACCAGACTAAATGGTGTGCTTAACATTAATATATTCATACGGCAATCCTTTATTACAAAATAAACACGTCAGTTGTATAAGAGAGATTGTTTTGAAATTATGCGTGACTGTAATTACAGAAATACTGATACACTAAAGGAATTCGGTTATGAACGCACTGTCAGTATTACATGCACATAGGATAACATTACCATATTTTTAAAGCTATATTGTAAATAAGCTTATAGATGCTGATATTTATGCTAATACTATTTTATAGCAGAAGTTCCAAGTTATAAAACAAAATTGTCTATAAATTCCTTCAAGTATTACTTTTGATGATTTTCAATTTGCTGCGAAATTTTATTATTACTATATAACTATAAAACCTCAAAAGCTTAAGTTTATTAATACGGAACCACATGTCATAATATAACTATATTTTTATTATTAATTTATAGCAACGTAGAAAACAGAAAATCATTCGTTATTTATTTATCGATATAGTAAAACTTTTTAAAGTCTTCGTACATTTCAGAGTCTTACATATTAACGAAGAATCATGAGAGTACGCTGATTGGAATACTACTAATATTGCGAAAGCTCGTATGTGTCTGCGTCTTTGTTTGTCTGTTACTTTTTCACACTGAAACGGCTGGATGTATTTGGATGAAATTTAGTACACAGATCGGATATGCTTTGGAGCAACTCATAGATTACTGTCAGTCATCTAGGGACGCACTCTCACAGTATATAAACATATTTTATAAATATATTAATAAATTTTCTTTTCTTCTATATAGATTATGTTCCGAGGCGGCGTTGTGGGCGAGTTGGACGCGAGACGCGACGCCGCCCTCGCACGTGTGCTTGTCCGACTGCAGGCGAGGGCACGCGGCTTGCTGGCCCGACGCCGCGCCCAGAGACTGCGCACACAGCACACTGCAGCTAGGTATATTTTGTTATATTAGAGAAAAAAGTTATCTAACGATATATCGAAAAAGCCACCTATGTACATAAAAACTGGTCAAAAAGATGTCAAAATATGTAGATGTGTAACTTAAAAAAAATCCAACATCTTTTTTTTCGCCCCTTTAAATAATAATAATCCTGATATATAAACTTGCTTAGCATGCTCATGAAAATGTGCAAAACATTACTTTGGCATAACATCAAACTTTCAAAATAGAGATGCTGCGCTCGCACACTGCATGTTACACGCAAAGATTCCTCCCATACCGTCCAATACAATGACTCCATAAACAATAAACTAATTTTAAAAAATGGCTCTATCATGTAGTTTACAATAATACTGTATCATTCTCTTTGTACAGATAAATTAATAATAGCAATGTAATGTAAAGTATGATTCTTATTAAACTTAGGTATTAATTAATACAAAGCTACAAGTTTGCTATATATGCGTCTTAAATAATCTTACTTTGTTAACATAAAGTTTTGTAAATAGAAATATGTATATATGTTAGTAAAAAATATAATGTAGCCAAATTTTTATTTATTTATTTATTTATTTATTTTTTAAATTTGACAAATAGTATTTAAAATTTTTAAGTTTCACTCGATTTAAAGAATGTAATTAGAGTAATGTGAGTTACATATTAATTTTGGAATTTGTGATCAAAACGTGTACGAACAAACTTTTAATGTTATATGTATATATAAAAAGAAAACGTACGATGCACTTCGTTACATATTACACATAACAGGTGCGTGCAACGCAATGTGCGCGCTTTCCTCGCGGTGCGGGACTGGCCGTGGTGGCGGCTGCTGGTGCGCGTGACGCCGCTGCTCGCGGTCCATCGCACTGAGCACAGACTCAAACAGGCACAGGTAAACATTCTTTCTAATTTTCCAGATATACTACATAATTATTTATGTATATACTAGGTACTACTAGCGTTTGACCGCGGATCTGCTCGCGTAGTTTAAAAACGGATTTTCTTATACACTTCCAAACCCTTTTTTATTCCTTTAATTTCCAATATTAGCGGATATCTACTTTTGTTGAGATGAAATTTGCTTAGGAAAATTATAAAGAAATTGAATTTATTAATTGCTGTTTAGGAAAAGAGTTATTGATAACCTATAAGATAAGAATTAATAACAAATATTTTTTTGTTTCTCAACAATTTCAATTGTTTACGTAATGTATATTATTTACGTTTAAAGTGAGTGTACAAAAACAAGCAACGTTTACAAACACGTCGGGCTAAATGGTAGCAAAATAACAATAAATAGTAAAAGTATAATATTAGCAGATATTATTACTTGTTTTTATTATTTATTTAATATTTATGTATTATGTTTTCTTAAGATGATAACCAATGATGGTAAAAGTCTATGAAATGGAAAGTGTTAAACTTATTTCACACACGCTTTCTTTCTTCACGACATAACAGAAGAAACAATATTACTCTTACTTTTAAAAAAATCGTTTTCATTTACAAGAAAAAAATATACTACGTATTATAATATATAACTGATGCAATGGCATATTATAGTTATTTCTGGCCGCAAAATGTATAATATACAACAATTATTTATGTACAAGTCAAGCCAGCTTATGCACTTGATGTAATTTCTTAGTAGTCCGCCGTACAGTTCCCAATAATAATTAAGATTACACTTTCTCTCTACGCGTTGTTTTTTTTTTACTATAAAAGAAACCAGTTGAGACAGGCAGCAGGTCTCAGACGTAATGTGGACACAGCGGCGAACCAAAGATAACAACGTTCAATTGCATAATGTATCAAGTGTAATGCGCTGTAGATATGTAGTTCAGACATAAAATTTTATAAGGAAATTTAGAGATTTATAGGTATATGAATATTTCTTTACTATATAGTCTTTAGTATAATTTCTATTAAAGCTATAGACCAAGAGAAGAATTAAATGCGACTTAAGTAGGTAGATCGCGCCTTCGAATCCTGCTTGGTACAAATATTCAATGTATGTTTCACAGACAACGACTCGAACAACGTTATTAGTATAGTAAAATATGTGCACATTTTTATTACGAATGCAACATTGATATTATAAAAGAGCATGACTTTATTCACTCTTATGCCATAGAGGTTATCTCGCGGCCGAGTTTTATTCACTGTATAAACACTTCCTGCTTCTATAGATGTGAATTAAAGATTTGAAGCAAAGTTCAATAACCCGAGATCCAAGTGTACAATCAACGTCGTAATAATTGAGGAAGAGGATTTGATCACAGCCTCCGTAATAAGGCATTGTTTAAAGCAGCATATAGAATACTGACAAAAAGACATCATTTTTCAATAATAAAACTACCATTTAGTACATTTTTCCGCGAGATCTTTTTTAAATATTCTTTATTTTTTTATATATATCTACATCTTAACAAACAATCGTTGTAATGTAAAGAAATGAAGTAAAACGATTAAAACCATGATGATGTTCAAACCTATATACATATAATAAAATTCTAAGCCGAATCTGTACATTAAATATTTTTTGGAAAATCTTATTAAAATAGACATTATTTTCGATACAGATGCCGAAACAATAGTTTTTAGAATTTTTGTCTGTCTGTCTATTACCGCAACCGGAAATTTTGTATGGTGATAGGTGGTTATCCGGGTCAACATATAGGATACTTTTTACCGCGGTAAAATATCTCATTTCTGAGAAAAAATACAAAAACTGCAATGTAAGAGTATACTCATATGTAAAACCTAATAATTTGGTTTTGGGTCATCTGAACGCGGGCGGAGCCGCGGGCAATGCTAGTTAGCAATAATAATAATCAGAGCAATAATAATTTTGTCTTTTTAGACATTCTATTTCTGAATATATAACAATTAACAATACAATATTATCCTTCTACATACCTATATGAAATATATAGACTATTCGTCCTTACATCCAAAATTAATAAGTATATACGACGTTTTTGACTGCATAATATTGCTTCTTTACAGATGACTGTAATGATTTTGTCTCAAACTAAATAATAATATTAGCAGATACGTAAATAATTTTATTAAAAATTCGTAGTTACGTAATTTCTGCTAATACGTAATATACGTATACGTGCTAATGGGAACCTATTAGTTAGCCTTTGCTGATCGTCCGTCTGTCTATCAACGGGCTGTATCTCATGAACCGTAATAGGTAGAGTTGAAATTTTCACAAAGTATATAGTTCTGTAGCCGCTATAACAACAAATAACAAAAAATCAAGATGGTGAATTTCAAAATGGCCGTCATGCAATTTTTTTTTGCCTATTTTCTTGTATGACGTCTATTTCTATGCAAATGAATTGGAAATGCTAGTCTATGAATTTGACTAACTATTTGACAAACTAACTAGACGGCAAAAAGTAATTGAGTCTTAGCTATGAAATATACAGTTTTTCACGCACATTGCATACGAAAAATGAAGCGTGTTAGGCAATCAACTGGTCAGTTTCTTCAGTTTGGTGTTCAGAATTACAATAAATACAGCTCACGTTTGTATATTTATAGGAACAAGTACGTGTAATTACTTATTTCCGAGTACAAGTAACAAGTAGAGACCTCACAACCAGCTAATCAATAAACCAGTGAGGTATTAACGTAAGCAGTTTATCTGCCATCTTACCGCTGTTTCCGGTCAAGCGAGCTTGAAAACAAATTACTCTAAGACTAATTCATGCATAAGAGGAACGGATAAAATTTATTACAGCTTTAACAGCACATCCATACATGCAATAAGAAAAGTCGTTAAAAGAGTTTTGTACAATCGTGTTTTACTATTAATCAAAGCAATCTAACTTCGCGCTTTAACTGCGCTCGGCATGTGTGTGTTATTTATCATATTAGAATCAATCACACTTCAAATAATTTTAATTGTCTTATTCAAAAAAATCTACGTATTTTACGTATATTATGTATAAATTTTGTACTACGTGCCAAATATATTTTAATGTGAATTTTGTTGCATATCAAACCCCTAAGGAATTTATAGAGAAAAACATGTTTTATTAACAACAACTTGAAGAAATCGCTTAAATATACCAATTGTCTTTTATGTACATTTTGTTTTAATTTGTAATTTTACAAATAAATAATTTAATTGCAAAAATAAACAAATAAATTCATATAAATAAATAAAATTTATATTTGCATAATTACATTTTTTAACAGTTTCTCTAATATTAAATCCTACGAACATGTATATATATTTTGAACCCACATCCGATCAGAGTGTGTTAAACACTTTTTTATGGTTATGAAATTCGGCCACATATTTATCTCATAAAGTACCTAATGATTATAACATTCGTATTGATGTGCCTTGTGGCATAACAGGATACCAACTGGCAATACCAATGAATAGTGGAAGGTGCGGCTTCGAATCCCGCGAAGGATTTTATATTGATTACACAACTGTTTTCTATGTTGTATTAAACAACAAACATGCGTTAAATGCGTTGGTTAAAAAAAGGAATTTATTACCTTGTTTTCAGTTATTTTTTTATCAAATATATTGAAAAATGCATAATTAATTAGTTTGAACAAATGCCATTTAAGAACAATATATTAAAGTTTTCATAATATCGAAAAAGACTAATACGATATATACTCGTATGTACTTGTCTAGGATATCTATTTAGTACGAATCATATTAAAATAAAAGAAGCGTTAAAATGTGTACGCTATAAGTTAAAATAAAATCTGAAATTCATATCGCAGTGACACATCGGAACTTAACATCGACGTAATATTGTTTAATCCGACAAGTTGTGTTGTTATGACACCGACATAGATTATGACATGAAAGCCTGTTATGCTTTAGTGTTTATTTATTTTAACATCCGTTTTGTAAAATATTTACATACGTTAACTTTCAAATTCTCGGTCGCAGAGCTATTTACCCAGATAAATGCTATGACTCCTTAAAAATAATCGTTTAGATACGTGAAATACAAAATTATAATAAATACATATTATAATAAAATTGTAACTAAGTCGAATCTGTACATTAAATATTTTTTGGAAAATTTCATTGAAATAAACATTATTATCGATACAGATGCCGAATCTATAGTTTTTAGAATTTTTGGCTGTCTGTCTGTTACCGCATCACAGAAAATCTACTAGAGGGATTTTGATGACATTTGGTATGGTGATAGCTGGTTATCCGGGTCAACATATAGGATACTTTTTACCGCGGAAAATATCTCATTTTTGAGAAAGAATACAAAAACTGCAATGTAAGAGTATACTAATATGTAAAACCTAAGAATTTGGTTTTTGGTCATCTGAACGTAGGCCGCGGGCAATGCTACTTTATAATACAACATTAATTTCTTTATTGGACGGTTTCAGAAGAGATAGATAGCTGATAGACAATTCAAGTGTGTGTTACTTGTGCTGTTAATTTTCAAGATTCCTTTAAAGAAGAGGGTTACACCTTAAAGATTCCAAATAAACTTTCAAGAAAATTGCGCCACTATGTCGAATAATTTCTTTTAAAGTAAATAATTTTATAATCGGTAAAACTTTTTAGGTAAAAGTTAATATCTTCATAATATATGTATGTAGGTGTACAAGTATGATTTTGTTAACGTCATTATATCACCTTTCATATGTTCACACAATAGCATTACTTAATGGCGTTCAGCAAATACTGCAAATATGCATATCATCTTCTAGTATTTGCGGCGTCATGTGCGATTACACGGACATCCGAAGCGGCCGACACGTGAGATATCTCATAATGCACTTCAAATTTATATAATAACTAGCATCGCCCGCAGCTCTAAATTCTTAGGTTTCACATATAAGTATACTCTTACATTGTAGTTTTTGTAGTTTTTC